CTTAACATCAACATATAGGATGATTATTCCACTTTTCATAACACATAAGAGCTTATCATTTATATCACATAAGGAGGAACTACATTCTCCATATTAACATAAGATAAATATGAACACCTTCAAAGAGTTGACTTGAATTTTCATACCAAGACAACACTTAAACATGTTCAACACAACTCTCGTGAAAAAAAATATACAACACTACATATTTAAGTGCAAATTTGTTATGAGAAGCATACTTATGAAAACTCAATCTAGGCATGAATTTCTACAAGAACATGAACATATTAGAAAACATGATAAGTTCAACTAGTTCTCATTTAAGAGAAAACTATTTACCTTAACTTTGTCTATGAGTAGGAGGAAAAAAGATGCGGATAGCGGGACTTCTTGTCGGCCTCACCATCCCATGTTGCACCCTCAACAAGGTGGTTCCTCCAAAGAACTTTTACGGAGGCAACCTCCTTATTCCTCAATTTCATAACTTGACTATCTAAGATCTCAACTGAGAGCTCTTCATAAAAAAGATCCTCTTTTACCCCTAAACCTTCTAGAGCGATAATGAGACATCGGATCACCTATATATTTCTTATGTATAGACATGGAACACTGGATGAACCGAGGCTAATTATATTGCAAATCTAACTCATATGCCACTTCCCCTACTCTCTTCAAAATATCATTAGGGACTACATAATGGGGACTAAGTTTCCCCTTATTTCCAAACCTTATCACCCCTTTCTTGGGTGAAATTTTCAAATAGACCCAATCTCCTACTTTGAATTAAAGGTCCCTCTTTCTATTGTAGGCAGAAGAAATTTTGCCGACTGTAAAATATTTTCAACTTCTGTCTTACGAGTCAAACCTTCTCCATGGCCTCATACACTATATCAAGGCCAAGAAGAGCAAACTTACCAACTTAAAAACATCCAGTCGGGGACCAGCACCTCCTACCATGAAGTGCTTCAAAAGGTGTCATACTGATACCCTCATGGTAGCTATTATTGTAGGAGAACTCTATCAAGTGTAGGTGATCATATCAATTACCCTTGAAATCAATCACATAAGACCTCAACATGACTTCTAGAGTTTGATTGGTTCACTCCACTTGTCCATTCGTTTGGGGGTGGAAAGCGGTGCTAATATTTACTTGAATACCAAGCCCACATTAGAAATATCTCCAAAAATGGGAAGTGAATTGGGCTACTTTATCCAAAATGATTGACAAGGGAGCCCCATGAAACTTCACGATCTTTTTAACATACAATTCACCATACTCCTCCGTCGAGTATCAAACTTTTACGGGAAGAAAGTAGGCTGACTTGATCAATCTATCTACTATAAAGTCATGTTGTTGATGTATGGGAGGCAAACCTACCACAAAGTCCATGTTAATATCTTCCCACTTCCAAGTAGGGATGTCAATATCTTGGGTTAGACCTCCCGGTCCTTAATGCTTGGCTTTGACTTGTTGTCAATTTGAGCACCTAGCCACAAAATTAGCTATTACTCTTTTCATTCCATTCCACCAATAAATCTCACGTAAATCATGATACATTTTGGTGGCCCCCAGATGAATAGAATATCGGGAGCCATGAGCCTCTTCCATGATTCTCTCCCTTAAACCATTCACATCCGGTACACATAACGTTTCTTGGTACCTAAGTACCCCATCCTTCCCTTGGGATAAAGACTCATTATTATTTATAAAGACCAATCGTTCAATTCCATCAATATGGGATCAAGATGTTGTTTAGACTTCACATCCACCACTAATGACGACTTGGACTTATGACGAATCATAAATCATTCTTTCAAGTTTCTTCTAATCAGACACTCTACCGGGCAAAACTATGAATATCATTAACTAGTTCTTTGTTATCATCACCCACACGAGTCATACAACCCATGGACACTCGAATCAAAGCATCCACCACCATATTATCTTTCCCGGGATGGTAAAGGACACTCATGTCATAATCCTTTAAAAGCTCTAAAAATTTTCTTTGGCGTATATTCAAGTATTTTTGAATTAATAAATATTGAAAACGGTGAATACATCTACATGTACCCCATAGAGATAATGTCTCCAAATTTTAAGGAAAAAATCAGGGCTGCAAACTCAAGGTCATGAGTTGGGTAATTCTTCTCATGTTTCTTGAGTTGCCTAGAAGCATGCATTAGTACCTTGTCATGTTGCATAATGACACATCCTAGACACACTCGGGAGGCATCACAATAAACTGAAAACCCTTTGATACTTTCCAGTAAGGTCAACAATAGAGCAGAAGTAAGTCTATCTTTCAATATTTGGAATCTTTTTTCAATAGATTCCGACCATACGAACTTGGACTTCTTTAGGGTTAAGGCTGTTAGTGGAGATGCGATAGACAAAATCCCTCAAAAAACCTCCTATAGTAATTGAACAACCCTAGAAAACTTCATATGTCGGTAGGATTCAAAGGTCTACGCCAACTCTTAACCACTTTTATCTTCCTCGGATCGACCTCAACCCTTTCACAAGAGACAATGTGTCCAAGAAAATCAACCGACCTCAACCAAAATCACACTTACTAAATTTAGTGAAGAGTTGGTTATCCTTGAAAACTTGAAAAACTATTCTCAAAAGGTTCATATGATCATTCTCACTCCTCGAGTATATCAAAATACCATCAATGAAGACAATCACGAGCAAATCAAGATACTTTTTAAAAACTTGATTCATAGGGTCCATGAAAGTTGTCGGGGCATTTGTTAGACCAAATGACATAACTAGGAATTCAAAGTGACCATAACTTGTTCGAAATGCCATCTTTGAAATATCAACCTCCCTCACTCTTAGTTGGTGATAACCCGATATCAAGTCTATCTTTGAAAACTAACTCGCTCCTTAGAGTTGATCAAACAAATCTTCAATCCTAGGGAATGGGTACCTATTCTTTATGGTGATTTTGACGGTAGTCGATACACATTCTCAAATACCCATCCTTCTTATTCACAAACAATACCGGGGATCCCTATGGAGATATGCTTGGTTGAATAAAACCCTTATCTAGCAATTCCTTGAGTTGAGCCTTTAGTTCTTTCAAATCGGCCAGAGCCATCCGATAAGGAGGGATTGAATGAGGTTGTGTATCCGACAATAAACATATGCCGAACTCAATTTCCCATTTGGAAAGAATTCTAGGCAGGTCTTCGGGAAAGACCTCCAAAAATTCCTTCACTACACGTATCGACTTTATGAAAGGAACCTCGGTTCAAGATCCCTAACTCAACTATGTAGTAGAGAGAACCCTTTACAATCAACTTGCAAGCCTTTAGACACGAAATGATCTTACCCCTAGGATTTGAGTTTTCTGTCTTCCACTAAAAAATGGGTTCATTTGGAAATTGAAATTTGACTGCCCTTGTCCTACAATCAATAATAGAAAAGCAATCATGCAACCAATCCATTCCCAATATGACATTAAAAATCTAGCATATCAAGTTCTTTCAACTGAACTAATGTAACTCTATTGGGAAAAGAAATAGGACAACCTTTATAGAGTCTTTTAGCCACCACGAAATCTCCCATCAGGGTAAAAACCGAAAAGGGTTAATCTAATATGTCGGGTTGTATATCAAATTTCATGGTTACAAGAGGGGTCACAACTAAAAATGTAGCTCCGATATCAAACAAAGAATATACATTAAAGGAAAATAATTGTAACATAGCGGTAACCACATTCGGTGAACTCTCTTGATCACCTCGGGATTGGAGAGCATAAAAGCGATTCTTTTAAGGAGCATCCAGATTTGGGGCATTTGCTTGTGCTTGAGAATTTTCCTTTGAGAATTCATAGAGAAATCTCTCTTGATGTGACCACTTTGCCACAACTATTGCAATTACCCGTGCCAACTAGACACTTACCATCATGTTTTCTACCATATTTTGCATTAAGAGGCTTCTCGATATAAGAACCACCACCTTTCCCCTCTTGGGGCTTGGGAGTAGATACCTTACTCTTATTGACCCTAGGAGCATTAGCAGGGACATGATTGGAAAACCTCTTCTTCAACCTTAGTTTGTCTTGAATCTCAAATCTAGTTTTAGAAGAATTTCTATCTTCGGTTCTCACCTTCTTTAACTCTCTACCAATTTGCTTGAGTTTTTGCTCCTAAATTTGCTCGACATGAACCATAAGACGAGAAATGTCCATGATAGGAATAAACATAGCCAACTTACAGTCATTAACCACAAGATCGGATATTCCCTTGACGAATTTTTTCATCTTACACCTAGAATTCTCTACTATAGTGGGAGCATACTTGGATAGTTGAGTGAACTTGAGGATATATTTCTTCACACTCAAGTTCCCTTGGCAAAAATTTATGAATTTTAGCATCTTACTCTCCTTTAGTTCCAAGGGAAAGAACCTATCAAGGAAAGTCATCTTGAAAGCTCCCCAAGTAATCTGACCTTCTCTAACTGGTCTCTCATCCTTCCATTGTTCATATCAAACTTGAGCAACGTCTTTGAGTTGATAGGCGGCTAGTTACACCTATTCTTGAGGAGACACACCCATAGAATCAAGAACTTTGAACACAAAGCCTTGTAGGTCCTTTTACACCTTAGAATCAAATAAAGTACGGGGATTCATCCTTGTGAAATCCTTAATCATTGAAGTAGTAGTGCTGGGGTTCACTTGCACCCTAGCTGCCCTAGCCACTTGAGTATACAACACTTAAGTCAATCTATGAATGGTCGACCTTATCTCAAGGTTAGACATAGCCCTTTCTTAAATAGGAAACTGACGGTTTTGAGGAGCTTTAGGGGGAACCACCTTGTTTTACGAAAACACATAAGTAAAGTAAAAATGACTAAATTTCAAAAATTCAATCAATCTTATGATTTAAGAAAAATTGACTTTCCAAATCAATAGAGTCTCCACTTAATTTTTTTTTAGTAAAAATCAAGAAAACATAAAATTATTTTTTCAAAGATTTAAAACAGATAAAAATCAGTTGAAAAGCGTTTGAAGTTCAAATATACATTCTGATAAGGTGTTAGGCCCTCGAAATGCCCACTAACTCGCAGTTGACCGGTGATTTGACAAAAATGACCTTCTAAATAAATTTTAAAATAATAACGGACCAGAATGAATTGATTTTGCAATTGATGCTGCAAATTGTAAAAAATGAGAGTTGAAATGCAAAGGAGACAGGATCTGCCTCCCCCAGGATTTGCTTCTAACGCTGCTGATGGGAGACCTCATATCTACTTCCCTTCTTCAAATATGGATCCAACTCAGAACCATCCATCTACACCTTCTCAGACTCCGTCGGTTATAGATCTGACTACCAATCATGACCATGTAGATTGTATGACCACTTTAGGGGATCTGGTTCTTTTGGATTATGATTCTTGATCAAATGTCTCATCATCCACCACTGTAGTATCAGATTACACCCTTGAAAGAAGCGTTCTCCACTTTGACATTTGTGTAAAATACTATAGATGTCGGCAAAAATCATAGGCCCTAAAGTGTAGTACTTTATTGATGATTTATAGTCCACTCCGTAAAAGATGGCATGAGTGACCATAAAAATGGTGCGATGAATAGTGTATTTTGGCCCTTGAGGGAAAACCATCGTTCCGAGTAAACATATTGTAAATGCGAGGGGACTTGGTGCTTTCCATTTTTCTTTTGAAATGAAATCCTCTTTATATTTCTCACAAGCGATAATATAGTTTTCTTAAAGGTATATTTGGGCTGGGGATATTGTCCATACACTCGTTTTTAACCTATGACAGTTTTTCTCTTTTGGCGAAATCCCATATTATAGGATTTAGGAGATCTGTATTTGGATTTCGTTTCCTATTGTTGCACATGGATACACTTTTGTAACTCGTGAGGACTTCTACTATTGTTGGCGTCAACTTCACTTCCCTAAATCGAAAGACCATATGCTCGCTATCCCAAAATTTCACCATTGTTTCTAATTAGGTCAGGCCAAACATTCATCTCTAGCATTGACAAGAGGTAACCTATGTGTTTCTGAATGATTATTTTATCGTCATTGTTCATGAAGCTCCACCATACTTTAAGGAAGGGATCAGGGACGGTAGCCATTCTTGTTTTAAAAGTTTCGTGTGTCGGATTCATCCTGCAAAATAGCAAACAAAGATTAGTTAACCCCTACCCCCGTAGACAACAAATCATTTTAAAAACAAACAAACATCCTTCAATTATCACAGAAACATGATTGTCTATTTTGGCAATTTGGGCCAAGTAGACAAAAGGTGGACTTCTAATGGACCCCACACGCCTTGGATGTTGGGTCGTCCTAGTTTAAATGCTCCAACATTCGGGATTTTGGCTCGGTTCTACTCTAGTTGAATAGGAGTGACTTTTGAAAAGACTGGAAACCCAAATGGACAATTTGGCCTGTACTCGTGACAACCATTGGACGCATAACGAACCAATAAATTGCCACTAACTCCGAAAGAAGGTGAGAATAAAATTCCGGTTGCGGTTCCGCAAACCGTCCTTTAATGTACTATAAAATATATATCAGAAATATGTCATGATATGCAATGTCATTTTATAATTTAAGCAATTTAATCAATATAAACAATTCAATAATAACCCTTACTCTAAATAGTCAAATTATTTTTGTTAGAACTTAATTAATCCTCAGCGAAGTCGTCATTTCTGTTTTACGAAAATATTTAGTAAAGTAAAAATGAATAAGTTTCGAAAAATCAATTAATCTTATGATTTAAGAAAAATCGATTTTCCAAATTAACAGAGTCGCCACTTGATTTTTTTTAGTAAAAATCTAGAAAACTTAAAATTATTTTTTCCAAGATTTAATACAGAAAAAATTAGTTGAAAAGAGTTTGAAGTTCAAATATACATTCCGAGAAGGTGTTAGGCCCTTGGAATGCTCGCTAACTCGCGGTTGACCGGCCATTTGACTAAAATGACCTTCTAAAATTATAAAATGATAACTAAGTAAATTTTTTTTTACTTGCATGTTCTTATTTTCTTCTAATTATATGTTAAGGGAAAATAATTAGGGAGGATCATTCATTCTTAAGGGAAGAGATTCAAGTGTAGACTAAACTAAAATAAAAGCTAAATAAAAAATAATAAAATAAAATAACTATTTACCTTTTTCGGATATATATATATATATATATATATATATAAACGAAATGACCATCTTTGAGGATTAATTAAATCAAAACGAAAACAAAATAATGTTAGGCAACATAATCACAAATAAATAAGGATGAAAAGAGGAAAATGTCAATTTTGGGCTTTGACCCCAATCCTGTTAATGGGCATGCTGGAATTTTATGATTTTTGGGTCCATTTCATTCTGTTGAAAAATTTGTTATACCCCTTATGTATATTATTGTATACGGGCCATATTTTGGAACTTTTTCCTATATATTGAGCTATATATGCACGTACACGACCCAACTTAATGTCCGTGCACCTGTATCAATTTTTGGGCCCCATATTTCTGTATTATGATATGTATATTAGTGTATATGTATGTATACAAGCCATATTTTCAGCTTGTTTTAAAATTTCCAGAGCATGAAAATTATTTTCTGTTTGAATTAGTCAATTTTCAACCTGTTCACCTGCCTTACGATTTCCGACGGGGTCTGACTCGAGAAACACGAATATTAGGCCTTTATGGCCCGATGGAATTAGCAAGGTGAAGAGATAAGATTCCATAAGGACTCATGGAGAGATCTCACATGAAAAAGAACACATAAATAAGAGTTAACATCTACTCACAATGATAAAAACAACAAAAATGAGCACAGGAAATTTAATTGATCTAGACCGACTTTAAATGAAATTCAACTGACCATAAACAATAAGAAATGTATCATGATACTCAAGGGCAAAGGGAGTCATGAAACTTATATTCAACAAGATATCATTTCAAAAAAAAAATGGAGGCACAAAGCAGCTTGAAAATTAGATTAGATAATAGTCATCATATTAGGAAATAATGGTGGTAAAATGACCAAAATCCTGAGAGAGATTATGTCACTTAGTAGTTATAATCTCTTAGCAATACAACTGCCACGTGAAATATATTTCTACCTCCTATTTTAACATAACCAACATGTGATAATATTAATGAATGAACCACTACAATTGTTTAAAAACGAACATTCATTCAAATCAATATGCCTATTACAATGTCCACTCTTAACTTAGCTAAAGCAAAAAAACTAAGCAGTGTAACACATTATACCAAATGATTCATAAATATTACCCACATGTTCAACTATAAGGAAAAAAGGTAAGAACTCTAAGGAGAAACAAGCAGCAAATATGACTTGGAGCAATTGAAAGATAAGCACTAACATGTGAACCCCAACAAAGAGCAAAAAAGTAGAGACATTGACTATAAAACGCTACAACATTCCATCAACATTAAGGATGACAACATAGCTTATTCCAAAATGAACAGGGCTTGTCAAGATACCAAATCTCGACCAACCAAATGTGTAACTAAAGATAACAACACCATGTCAAAATGGCAAAGTCGAAAAGAGTGTTATGAAGGGAGGAAATATTACCTTTTCCCGGGCAGCGACTGGGACATACGAGTTGAACGACGACCTTCACCACGACTGAAATGTCAACTAGCTTCAGTGAACAGAAAATGAAAAACAGATATGAAAGTTCAAATTTCAAGTCTCTATCTTCTTTTATTATCTTGTATACATTTTTATATGCGTACAGCCATTTCCTTTCTGTTATTTTTTATTTGCTACTGTCTCCTTTCCAACTCTATTTTTTTTCCAAAATCTTTCTATTTTTGTTGAGCAAGAAATTCTCAGAAGACTAAAACTTAACGCAGAAATCTTTTCTTGTCCTCCACATAAAATTTTTCTCCCCTTTGAATGAGCCGGAAGAGATGTTTAAATAGAAGGGGAATTAGGTCACAATTTTGAAGGATAAACCGGTGAATCTTGGAGAAATTCGGGGCAAAATCGAGAATCCCATAACCTACTCCAAACTTCAAAACCCTTTCCCTTTTTGGACGAAAAAACTTTCTGAGAGTCCAACTTCAAACTAGAAGAGGAAAGGGGAATGAATGGGTTTGATTGACTCAATCGTCCTCGGGGAGATGTGGATCGATCTCACCTCCCCAAAGATGATTTCGCGTGCCCTGTTCTGCTGCTGTGAGAACAGACGAGAAAGGGTTATTGCGTAAGGGACAAAGAATCGCAAAGTTCCGCCTGTAGGGGCGGTGATTTGGATTGTTGAGCGTCGTCGTTGACGCGCTGAAATTGGACGTGTTTTGGGATTTTTCGTTGATCTGGCTATCGTACGTTCTGCTCCTTTGGGAAGAAGACAAATATCTGGGCCGGGTTAAAGGATTAAACTGGGTTGGGTAAATGAAATTGTTGGGTTGGGCTGGGTTACAGGGAAAAGGGAATGAGGGATTTTCTAGGAATTAGTGCGAAGGTTTTGGATTAAAATTGGGTCCGACAGGTGGCCTAATTTTGCAATTACATACATGGATGTTGAATTGCAATTATAGCCACAAACAAAAGTTGACCAAATTGAGTCAATTATCAAATCCGGCTAAAATTTAAATAAAATCGAATCGATATTAATTAAATTACGAGCTTCTTATCTTTAACAACATAAAATAGTTAACTTAAATATAACTAAGGACTCAAAACTATGCGCTACTAGTTTAACCGAAGTTTAATTTATTCAAATAAGTAAAAATCAAAATCGTTTTTGATGTGATTTTCGACAATTTAGAAAACACAAAATTATAAAACATATGTATAACTTAACTATAACAAAATAAACTAATAAACTTAACTATGTTAGGGATCCGAATTACAAGTCACTAAAACTAATTTTATAAAGCGTTAAGTAAAACTAAAATCTTTTACAATGATTTTTTGAGTGTCAAAACTGTCCGTCGTTTATTTGGATTGATGCAAGAAATTCGAAAAAAATGAAGTTGACCAAATCAATTTTGACCGACCACGCATTAATCTCTAGAGGAGGGATTTGGGTACGGTCTTTAGGAATTATGGTCGATCCCAGAAAATTGGTTTCCTACATATCTCAGGATATTGGAGAAATTAGGCCACTTGTAGTTCGATACGCTTGATTTAACTCACGATTTTAAAAGATTCCGAAAGAAATCCCAATACCGAATTATGAAATGATTGAGATGCTTGAGAATAAGATTCAAGAGTGGATGCTGAAACAAAGTCTGACTTTCAACACTGAGCTCGCCTACATATCCTTAAACTTAGGAATCAGGCTGCCTGTAGTTTGACTCGATTGGTTGAAAAGAAAATATATTATGCTAGATAACCTTGGGTTCTTGATAAGTGGCAAATTAAGTCGAGTATGAAAAGGAGGTTTGTAACCTCTTATTCATGAATGTGGCGTGCTTCACAACCATAATTAAGAAATTTCACAGACATAATTTCCAAAGCTCTTGGTGTATCGTCACTCAGATTGGAAACTTGCTTTCGACATATATCAAGATTTTTAGATGCAAGACTGAAACTGACAAAAGCCAAAGAAAAACTTACATGCCTTCTGATAGGGGTGTGGTTTAATTGTGGTGGAAGTCACTCCTCTGGTCGCGTCCTAAGATTTTGATAATTTTATTTCGACTATGTCCTAGTTCGCTACTAAGAAAAAGTTCCACGTTGTGCTGCATCCTTTTTTGATGTTGTCCGCACCGGTGGTTTTTTTGGAGAATTCATCCTTTCGGATGCTCTAAAAAAACTGAGATAAAAAATCATCACCTTAAAAATTCAATTCAAAAGGGAGATGGTTTGTTTTACCGCATTGACACTTAGTTGTTCTCCTTCCCATTTGACGTTAACTCGATAGTTTTGACGTAATGCAAATAAAACTTATGTCTTATGCTTGCAATATAATATTTAATGTACTCTTCGTTTGATATCAAAATAAATACTAATGCAGTGTACTGATATTTCTCTTGATGTCGTCCTTGATGCTCTTCTTGATGTTTACTTTCATCAAAAATAAAAGAATGCAGTTCATGTCGATGGGTAAATATTTCTCTTGAGATGCACGATTTCCTTGTCTGACAGTGCATGATTTCTTGTGGGGCATGAATATATTCCCGCGATGCGTGATTCGTGCGGGCATGAATATCTTCCCACAATGTATAAATTTCTGCGAGACATGAATATCATCTCGCGATGTATGAATTTCTGCGAGGCATGAATATCTTCTTGCAATGCATAAATTTTGCGAGGCATGAATATCATCTCGCGATGTATGAGTATTATCTCGCGATGCATGAGTATTAACTCGCAATACATGAATATTGACTCGCGATGCATGATCTTCCGCGATGCATGAATATTAACTAGCAATGCATGATCTTCCGTGATGCATGAATATTGACTCGCGATGTATGCTCTTCCGCGATGCATGAATATTGACTCGCAATGCATGATATTTCGTGATGCATAAATATTTAGTCGCGATGCGTGCTCTTCCGCGATGCATGAATATTGACTCGTGATGCATAAATATTTACTCGCGATGTATGATTATTAACTCGCGATGCATGATCTTCTGTGATGCATGAATATTGACTCGCGATGCAGGACTATTGACTCTTGATGTCATCCTTGGTACCAAATGAAAGATAGTGCTTCAATAGGCAACATAGTGATCTTCTGGGTGCCTTCTGGATAATCATATTGTCTCAATTGACCATAATGGTAAAATAACTCTCCATATACTGTATCGTCCCGATCGACAATAACATAAAATGACCCCTTATGGGTAGTATATTGTCTTGATAAACAATAAAATAAATGACCCTTCCGGGTAGTGTATTGTCTTGATCAACATTAAAATAAATGACCCCTCCGGGTGGTGCATTGTCTTGATCGACAATAAAATAAATGGCCTCTCTGGGAAGCTCAGTGTCTTGATCGACAATAAAATAAATGACCTCTCCGAGTAGTGCATTATCGCGATCGACAATAAAATAAATGACACCTTCGGGTGGTGCATTGTCTTGATCGACAATAAGATAAATGAGCCCTCTGGATAGCGCATTGTCTTGATTGATAATAAAACAAATGACCATCCAGGTAGCGTATTTTCTTGATTGACAATGAAATAAATGATCCCTTCGGGTAGTAGTAATATCATATTTAATATTATGCTGCAAATGACGTCCTTTACGAAAACTATAAACTTTTTCTTGAGATTTTTTGCTTTATTAATCTTTGAATCTACCTGGACGATATTTAGGCTTCATGCTGTTGGAAATTGATTGAAATAAACAATTCGTATCCCCAAGCTCCTTGTATAAGCAATATAAATAATTCTTGCGTCTATAGGAACACCGCTAACTTTGGGAGAGCTTTCTCCTCCCTTGAATACCTCATATTCATCGAGCGGAGGAATTCATTGATTTTTCAGCAAAGCTATAAACCTGCGTCCACAGAAAAATTGTTAGTTTTAATTATTCACTGGGGAGTTTTCAGAGTCGCTCCAGACTGTCGATAAATTCCGATTGAAATTTTGAGTATGGTGTATAGAATTAAACATTTCTTTGAATTATATTTAATTGTTGGTGTATAAATCCCAGAAATTTCGAAATCCTTTCAAAAATTCTATCCCAGTTGCAAATGTTGAAGTATCTTCACCCTTTACTGAGGAAATATCTTCTTGTTGAGAATTTTTGAGTTCCTCCAAAAAAATTTGTCTCAGTTTCTATTGTAAAGAAAAATAAAAATCATACGAGAAATATGACTGAACTCTTGTGGCACCTACGTATTTCGTTGATGCAGGAATCATGTCAAACGTAGTTCCCCCTCAAAGGTAAAAAAATAAAAAATTACAAAGAAACTCGACCGAGGCCGACATAGGCCGCCTATATATCTTATTCTTGAGAATTCAGGTCAAACGTAGTTCAAATACAAATAAATATTTAAAGGGATAAATAGGGTGACAGAGGCTGACATAGGCCGCCTACATATCTCATTCTTGAGAATTCAGGTCAGACGTAGTTTATTACAAGAGGGATAAGTTTAAACAAAGAAATACAAGCAAAAATAGAATGCATACAAGTAAATGACAAAATAAAAATTAGACTTCACACATAGTATCTCTTGACAGTAGATGAATTAATCAGTTTCGGCCATGTGGTTCCATCCATCTCCGACAGGAACAAAGCACATTAAGATAATACTTTGCGAACCATGTAAAGACCTTGCCAATTTAGTGCGAATTTTCCTTTGTACTCGTCTTGATCAGGAAAAATGAGCTTAAGGACCAGCTGCTCGATTTCAAAAATTCTTTCTCTGACTCTCTTGTGGAAAGCACAAACTATTCTCTGTCGATATAGCTGACCATGACAAACGGAAACCATTCTTTTCTCGTCAATAAATTTTAATTGGTCAATCCGCTTGCTGACCTATACAACATTACTCAACTCATATTCTTGGATGATTCTCAAAGACGGTATCTCGACTTCAGCAGGTATGACTGCTTCTGTTCCATACACTAGAAAGTACGGAGTTTCTCTAATCAATGTTCTAACGGTAGTTCGATAATCCAATAACGCATACGGCAATATTTCATGCCAACCATGGTGATTATCAATCATCTTCCTCAGAATCTTCTTGATATTCTTATGGGAAACCTCTATAGCTTCATTCATTTGAGGATGATAAGCAGTTGAGTTTCGGTGAGCAATCTTAAATTGCTCACATATATCTCTCATCAAGTGACTGCTGAGATTTGCACCATTATCAGTAATGATGGATTCTATTACTCCAAACCTACATATCATATTATTGCGGGAACAAAATCAGCTACAACATTCTTGGTTACCGACTTATAAGAAGTTGCTTCCACCCAGTTGGTGAAGTAGCCAATGGCCACCAAGATAAACTTGTGTCTGTTAGAAGTGGCTGGCTCTATCGTACCGATGAAATCTATGCCCCAAGCTACAAATGGTCAAGGTGAACTCATAACATTGAGTTCGCGAGGCGGCAATCGGATCAAATCACCGTGCACTTGACATTTATGAAATTTCTGCACAAACTTGAAACAGTCATTCTCCATGGTCATCCAGAAATAACCGGCTTGCAAGATCTTCCTTGCCAAAGTGATTCCATTCGTATGGGTGCCGCATACTCCAACATGTATCTTTTAAATAAGCTTCGCTGCTTCAACAACATCGACATATCTTAGAAGACCCAATTATGCAGTCCTCCTATAAAAGATTTTTCCACAAGAAAGAAATTCAGAGCCATATGGAGTATCAACTTCTTCTGGTAGGAGGTAGCATCTTCAGTGTAAATTCCAGACTCCAAATACTTCTTTATATCAATATATCATGGCACACCGTCTGGTTCTGCTTTAACATGGGAACAGTTGACTTGATGTTCTTTCAGCTCTATATCCAGAGGATCAATATAATCAGTAGCTGGATGTTTAACTCATTGAAGCGCTGGTGGAAAGAGCATCGGCCAACTCATTCTGTATTCTGGGAGTATGTTTGGACTCGATCTTATGAAATCTTTTGCACAACTTCTTCGCATACTGCACGTAAGGTATAATCATCGGGTTCTTCACGGCCCACTCTTCTTGAACTTGATGAATTAACAGATCTGAATCTCCAATAACCAACAACTCATGGACATTCATGTCGATGGCCATTTTCAGTCCAAGAATACAGGCTTCATATTCAGCCATATTGTCTGTGCAATTAAATCGGAGTTTAGCTGCCATAGGATAGTGATGACCGCTCTGATACCTTTACCTTGGTGATTTGCTGCTCCATCAAAGAATAGTCTCCAACCAAGATATGCCTCAGAAATATCTGCACCCACAAATGATATCTCTTTGTCGTGAAAAAAAGTATTGAGTGGTTCATATTCTTCATCAATAGGTTTTTCTGCAAGATGATCAGCCAAGACTTGTGCTTTTATCGCCTTTTGAGTCACATACACAATGCCAAATTCACTCAACAACATCTGCCACTTAGCTAGCTTTTCGATCGGCATTGCTTTTTACAAAATATACTTCAGCGAGTCCATTCTGGAAATGAGGTATGTGGCATAAGAAGACAAGTAATGTCTCAACTTCTGGGCAAGCCAAGTCAAAGCACAACACGTTCTCTCCAACATAGTGTAACGAGACTCGTACGGGGTGAACTTCTTCTTATGTAATAGATACCTCTTTCTTTCTTTCTTTCTTTCTTTCTTTCTTGTCTAATCATGTTAACCAACTACGCATCCGAATGCACTATCTGAGACGGATAAATACAGCAACAAAGGACTACCTTCTCACGGAGGAACCAATACCAATGGATTGGATAAATAGTTCTTGATAGCATCAAAAGCGATCTAACATTCTTCAGTCAACTTTGTCAAGGCATCATTCTTCAATAGCTTGAAGATCGACTCACACACCACAGTTGATTGAGATATGAATCGACTGATGTATTTCAACCTCCCTAAGAAACTCATCACCTCCTTCTTAGTCTTCGGAGGAGGTAACTCTTGAATTCCCTTAATCTTTGAAGGATCGATCTCAATACCTCTTCTGCTAACTATAAATCCCAACAACTTGCCGGCTAGGGCCCCAAAAGCACATTTAGCGGAATTGAACTTCAAGTTTGACTGACATAGATGATCAAAGAAATTCTTCAAATGCGTCAAGTGGTACGAACTCTCGCGGGACTTGATTATGACATCATCAACATACACCTCAATCTTTTTATGAGTCATATCATGAAATATGGGCCCTTATATAGGTAGCACCAGCATTTTTTAGGCCAAATGGCATCACCCTGTAATGATATACTCCCCAAGGTGTGGTAAAAGTTGTCTTTTCTGCATCTTTCTTGTCCATCAGAATCTGATGATACACTGCATAACAATCTACAAGTGAATGCATTTTATGCTTAGCACAATTATCGATAAGAATATGGATGTTTGGCAACGGAAAATTATCCTTTGGGCTTGCTTTTTTGAAATCCATGTAGTCGACACAGATTTTGATTTTCCCATATTTTTAGCGACCAGAACAACATTGGCCAACCACGTTTGGTATTGCGTTCCACCAATCAAGACTCAATATCCTTGGTGATCTCTTCTTTAATCTTTAAACTCAACTCAGGCTTGAACTTTCGAGCCTTCTATTTCACTGGACTGAACACCGGAATGATCGGCAACTTGTGAGACACCACATTGGTACTCAGCCCTAACATGTCGCTGACTTCCCAGACGAACACATCAATGTACTCGGTGAGTAAATGAATCATTCCCTTTCTTTGATCTTCATTAAAATTAACTCTGATTTTGACCTCTTGGACACACTCTTAGTCTCCAAGATTTATATTTTCAGTTTTCTCTAAATTCGGCTTATGCTGATTTTCAAACTAAATAAACTCTTCAGCAAAATGTTTTGGTACCTCAATTTCCTCTTCATATTCATCAACATCGTCATCACCTGCCTTATTTTGTTCATTCAGCTCGTGACATGACATGACATTGGTAGGTTTAAAACTTATATTACTGAAACCATAAATAGACAAAGTTAGAAAAGTAGAATATAACAAATAAATAATTAAGCAAATTTTCAATAAAGAAGGCTTTTAATTAAATTGGAGAAACAATGCAAACTTTGGCCTTGAAAAGGGCCATGTTGCCTTTTTAAACATCACAAGAAAATATAAAAGTTCTAATAAGTAAAATGATGGGTCTCGGGCCTCTTCCGGACTAACACTGATTTAAATGTACATAAATGATGCCCTTCTACCAAGGAGTTTGGGGAATCAGGATCAGTGTGGAGGTCCCATTCTGCAGCATCTCATCGGGCTCAGCAACACGGATACTAGCAGCTCAACCTCCTCTTCTATGACGACATCAATTTCTTCAAAAAAAGTCACAGATTCCTTTCACGAGGCCATCACGATCAGCGTACTCACGGATTGGAAATGATTGATACAAATGTTGGATCCTCTTAACCAATGGTTGAGCATTCTTCTTCTTCGTCTTTGTATCGTCATCTTTGGGGATGTACCCCAAACCATATCTGGCTCTTTTGGCAGGGACCGGAATAGACTCAATAATTTCTTGGGAATCTCTTCCCAATCCAAAACATGGTTCAAAACCATTCTGCAGCATCATAGTGGCTATCATCTTGTACACGATAGGCATGGGAGTCTGTGGGGCCAAGTCCTCACCGGTGGTACTTACCAGCTCTACCGTGTAGAAATATATACCTTGCGATACCTCATCAATGACTGGCGCATGTTTTCCGGAGTGAACCCCTTCTCCATGAATAACCATCTCTTCATTTTCCCAAAGAAGTTTCATCATCTAATGCAAAGTAAAAGGGACAGCTCCAACCATATGGATGAAAGGCCTTCCTAGAAGAAGGTTATAGCTAGTATCGATGTCCAAGACTTGAAACTGTGCACTGAATTCTGCCGGACCCATCTAGATGATCAGATTCACCACTCTCAACGTATCTCTCTGAACCCCATCAAAGGCTCTTATATTGACTTGGTTTTGCTCCATATTTCTTAAGGCGGACCTTAACTGCCTTAATGTTGACAATGGGAAAATGTTCAGACTGGATCTATTGTCCACCAAGATCCGATTAATGACCTTCTCGTAGCACACGACAGTGATTTAAAATGCCTTGTTGTGTGACCTCCCCTCAAAAGGCAACACATCGTCATAAAAGCCAATTTGATGCCCTCAGATAACTTGATTGATCAAAGCGGCCACATTATCGCTGCTTGTGCCGACGGGCACATAAGTATCATCAAGGCCTGTCTATGCAATTGAGAGCTCATCAGCAGGGCCCATATGGAAATTTGGGATGGAGTCTTCTCCAAATGCTTTACAATAGAATAATCTTTTGACTGCATAGTTCTCAATAATTCCTCTGCCTCGCCTTCGCTTATCGGCCTTTTACCTTGATCCTTCTTCTGTCCTGCAAGGGCCAATTCTTTAGGAGTATAACATCTCCTAGATAGAGTCATACCCTGAGTGTCAGCAGTTTCAATCATAAATTTTGGTCTGACAAGAGTTTGTGGTTGCACCAAGGCAACAACCTTTGCGGGTGTCAGGATCATGAACTTTTTTTCTCTTCGATGCTTAATGAGGCCACGGCCTTTTCTAGATCGTCATGCACAATTGAGTTATGACCTTAGTCACACACAAATCATCGTCTAACTCTATCATGTTGATATTGACACCTCTTTGATTCGGCAAAGGGTTGGTGTTGACATTAGGCGCGGCTGCTTGAAGAGAGACCACCTCTTGGTCGATCAGATTTGAATCTTATGCTTGAGGTTATTGCAGTATTCAGTATCATTTCCAACACATTTGGAGTGATACGTACACCTTTGATCGGGCCTGTAGAACTTTGAACTAGTATCACCGGTTTAGACCCCACCGGGTGGATATATTCGGCCGCAGCAAGTCGCTCGTACACTTTGATCCTCTTTCAGCGAGACAGTAAAGTTCCTGGAAGGCTTTTTCTGGAATATGGGTTGACGTGGGTCATAACTGCCTTGTTGGGGAGGGAGTACCTGTTGATAACTTCTGGTATTTGGAAAGGGGTCTTGATTTCTTGGGTAGAAATTTGTTTGGTATTTTCGCGATGGAGCTTGGTAATTCGGAGGGGGATGTTGGTATAGTGGAGGTTGGACTTGATACATTGGAGGGAGTGCTCGATAGCTCGACTCTACATTGGCACACTTGGGAACGACATTTTGGTAGTGAGGGGGTGGAATTTGGTAAAGTGGAGGATGATTTTGGTAAATGGGAGGTGGATTTGGATATTTTGGAGGTGGATTTTGGTAGACTAGCATAAGATTTTGGTAGACTTGAGAGGGATTATTTGGATGATTAGCTTGCTTGTAGCAAGCTTGGTAGGAGTTTTTACAAGGTTTAGAATGACCTTGGGAGGATGACGATCATATGAGACAGTAGCAATTTCTTCTCTCTTTTTCTTAACAGTCGCGATGATCTGGATGATGCAGCAACACGAGCTATTTTACCTGTTTTTAAACTGGCCTCGACAGTCTCACCAACCTTGACTATCTCATCAAACTTTTGCTCTAATGAGCAACATATTTCTATCATCATATTCGTGCTCTTGCACCCGCACGAACACTTTAACGGTTTCCTTTTCAGACATGGACATCTCACTCTCGCTGCTTCTTTTCTCCACCTATCGGTAAACTCTCTATAGCTCTCAATTTATTTTTGCTTCATCTTCTCCAAAGAGTATTGATCTGGAACAATTTCTATGTTGAAAATGAATCGATCGATAAAATCTTTGGCCAATGCATTCTAGTTGGGACATTGCCTTGTTTCATACGAGGTGAATGATTCAAGAGTTTCTCCGCATAGGCTTCGGTTGAAGAGCCGCATCAATAGAGATTCATCCCTACCAACACCAATAAGCTAGTCGCAGTAGGCTCTCAAATGAGCCATAGGGTTCGCCGCTCCTTCGGAATTATCAAATTTTGAGATTTTGAACCCTTATGGAAGGTCCAAATTTGGATGAATACATAAATCTTCAAAACTAAGCCCGGTGATATCACGTATGCATTGGAGTTCTTTCATGGCTTTTTTGATCTCTTATTTTAATCCACCTTTGCCTCTTCCTTTGCCCTCCACTCCCTTTCCTGTTTCTTATAATGGTCCAGCTCCGAACCGTTCACATCGTGCTCGGTAGGGACCGGAATTTGGAAAGTGGTTCTTTTAGGGAAGGGTGGAGCTAAAGAGGGACTCTGGGCATTTTGAGCGGTTTGATAATTCTGTGGGTAAGTCTGAGGATTGATATTCATATTTAAGTGGTGGTGGGGTGTTTGGGGATTGAAAGTATTTTGGTTTTGATTTTAAGGTGGTGGAGCGGTATGATGGTGGGTATTTTAAGGATCGGGTGGCATTTGCGGGTGGTTGTTTTGAGGAGGAGGTGGAGTTTGGTAGGATGCAGAAGTATATTAGGGATTTTTGGTAGTCAGATCGATAACCGA